CTAACTACTACTAACTAACTACTAACTAACTAACTAACTAACTAACTAACTAACTAACTAACTAACTAACTAACTAACTAACGACTAACTAACTAACTAACTAACTAACTACTAACTAACTAACTAACTAACTACTAACTAACTAACTAACTAACTAACTAACTAACTAACTAACTAACTAACTAACTAACTACTAACTAACTAACTACCTAACTAACTAACTAACTAACTAACTAACTCTAACTAACTACTAACTAACCTACTAACTAACTAACTAACTAAATAACTAACTAACTAACTAACTACTAACTAACTAACTAACTACTAACTAACTACTACTAACTAACTAACTAACTAACGAACTAACTAAACTAACTAACTAACTAACTAACTAACTAACTACTAACTAACTAACTAACTAACTAACTAACTAACTAACTAACTAACTAACTAACTAACTAACTAACTACTAACTACTAACTACTAACTAACTAACTAACTAACTAACTAACTACTAACTAACTAAACTAACTAACTACTAACTAACTAACTAACTAACTAACTAACTAACTAACTAACTAACTAACTAACTAACTAACTAACTAACTAACTAACTAACTAACTAACTACTAACTAACTAACTAACTAACTAACTAACTAACTAACTAACTACTAACTAACTAACTAACTAACTAACTAACTAACTAACTAACTAACTAACTAACTAACTAACTAACTAACTAACTAACTAACTAACTAACTAACTAACTAACTAACTAACTAACTAACTAACTAACTAACTAACTAACTAACTAACTAACTAACTAACTAACTAACTAACTAACTAACTAACTAACTAACTAACTAACTAACTAACTAACTACTAACTAACTACCTAACTAACTAACTAACTAACTAACTAACTAACTAACTAACTAACTAACTAACTAATTTTTCAAAATTTCTCTTTTTGTTACAAATTTTCGAAAATTTCTCTTTTTTAGAGATTTTAGAAATTTTCGAAAATTTCTCCTTTTTTTAGAAACTTTTCAATAGAAATTCTTCGAAAATTTCTCTTTTGAAAAGAAAATTTTCAAAAATTGATCTATTTAGTAAACAATAGTAAAATATTTATCCGTTTAATAAAAAATTGTGGAAAATTTTTCTTTTTAATAGAATATTTTCAAAAATTAATGTTTCTATAGAAAATTTTACAAAAATTCTAATTTTAATAGAATATTTTGTAGAATTCGAATTTTAATAGAAAATTTCCTAAATTATCTCCTTTGAATAGAAATTTTCCACCTTTTTAGAGTATTTCTTTACTTATTTCTCTTATAAACCGAATGATAAACCATCATATGCCATCATTTCCTATTTTGTGCTTTTGATTTATCTAAAAATACCACAATTCCACAAACTTATTAAAGTTTCATACAAAAATTTATTTAGTTAGTCTATGTATGGTTTCATGCTTGACTAGATTTTTAGTTTCCTAGGGGGATTTTATATTTATTTGTATTTATCTTAAGATATACAAATACATAAGAATATTCATGTCGGATAGAGTTTAACACAAATGTAAACACATGCACAAGCACATAAATACAAATAAATTTAATAAGAAATAGTATGTATGTATAGAAAATACTATATAGATAATAATTGTATAAATGTTAAATTTAATTTACTATAGTATTTAGTTACTACTATTTTCTTTTGATACGAATCACTTGAGTTGAATAATAAGTAGTTGTGTAGTTGTGTATGTGTGTGTTGTGAGTTTTTCATCCATTTTAAAGCAATTTCTTTGTCTTTTTTGTGTATAGTTTTCTAATTTAATTACTGGCTGGGAAAAAATACACTTTTTCTTTTAATTGTTGTAGTGAATAATCTTGTACTTAAATAATTTGTCATATTTGCAATTTAATATTGTTTAAAATATATAGATGACTATATGGCTATATATTATATGACTATATATTAACGAACTAATTCTTATCATTAAATACATATTCTGTATGTATTGTTTTGTGTGCGTTTTAAAACATCTTTAAAACCCTAGATTCATTAATTGACATTTTTCATTTCAGTTGTATTTATCATTTCAACCATTTATACCAACTGTCAATCTACTTTCCTTTTTTGTTCTGTTTACAAACTTTTACTCGGACTTAATACAATCAATTTCCTACTGAAGTGTATGTTTAAACCTTTAATATAAATGATTTACTGGTCGTTGGGGAAAAAGTGTATATTTAAATAAAACTACTCATATTTCAACTTCAATTACACTTGATGAGATATTTAACACATTGGGGTATTTTTTCGCCTTTATTTGTTTCCTTTTTTTGGCGGACATTAAATAAACTTTCACAATACACTTTATTAAGCCACTCATATTACTTAACTTACTTTTAAAACATTATTTTCACAGAAAAAAAAAAACAGTTTTTTTAAACAACACTTTCAATTCTCCTGGCCTGTAATTTTATTTCCCCTTTACATTTTATTACAATACACACAAAAAACTATACATGCCATGTGGTGTATTAATTTTCATTTTGTAATTTTTTCTATAAATTTTCTCATCATTGCAGGTGAACGTTTCGTGCCTGAAACACATGAAACTGGTTATAAAATAACAATGCGTTTGACCATAAATGATGTTGACGCACAAGATTTTGGGTCATATCGTTGTGTAGCCAAAAACTCTTTGGGTGATACTGATGGAGCAATTAAACTTTATCGTAAGTACTATACAGAAAAAACAACACACATACACACACAAACTTTATTCTACAAAAACAAAAACTACATAAAAATAAAATGTGCAGCCCAGCGGAAGTTTATAAATGATGAAAGGGAGTGAAGAGAAAGAAATAAAAAGCAAAGTTTTATAAAAAGTGACAACTGAATATAAATATAGTTTGTGTATATAAAATGAAAAATCAAGTAATGATAAACAAAAAGTATGGTTGTGTTAAGCATAAAGAGTATTCAAAGTGCCCTACTAAACGAAATAATTCAAGAAGTTTGTCTAAAAACTATAGTATAGACTATAGAATAGACCTTAAACTGGACTATAACCTAGATTATAAGCTAGAATATATATGGACAAGACTATAGACCTGATTATAGACTAGACTATAGACCAGACTATAGACTAGACTATAGACTAGACTACAGAGTAGACTATAGACTACACTATAGACCAGATAATAGACTACACTATAGACTAGATTATAGACTAGACTATAGACTAGACTATAGACTAGACTATAGACTAGACTACAGACTAGACTACAGACTAGTCTATAGACTAGACTATAGACTAGACTACAGACTAGTCTATAGACTAGACTATAGATTAGACTATAGACTATAGACTAGACCAGACTATAGACTAGACTACAGACTAGTCTATAGACTAGACTATAGATTAGACTATAGACTATAGACTAGACCATACACTAGACTATAGACTAGACTATAGACTAGACTATAGACTAGACTATAGACTAGACTATAGACTAGACTATAGACTAGACTATAGACTAGACTATAGACTAGACTATAGACTAGACTATAGACTAGACTATAGACTAGACTATAGACTAGACTATAGATTAGACTATAGACTAGACTATAGACTAGACTATAGACTAGACAATAGAATAGACTATAGACTAGACTATAGACTAGACTATAGACCAGACTATAGACTAGACTATAGACTAGACTATAGACTAGATTATAGACTAGACTATAGACTAGACTATAGACTAGACTATAGACTAGATTATAGACTAGACTATAGACTAGACTATAGACTAGACTATAGACTAGACTATAGACTAGAATATAGACTAGACTATAGACTAGACTATAGACTAGAATATAGACTAGACTATAGACTAGACTATAGACTAGACTATAGGCTAGACTATAGACTAGACTATAGGACTAGACTATAGGCTAGACTATAGACTAGACTATAGACTAGACTATAGACTAGACTATAGACTAGACTATAGACTAGACTATAGACTAGACTATAGGCTAGACTATAGACTAGACTATAGACTAGACTATAGACTAGACTATAGGCTAGACTATAGGCTAGACTATAGACTAGACTATAGACTAGACTATAGACTAGACTATAGACTAGACTATAGACTAGACTATAGACTAGACTATAGACTAGACTATAGACTAGACTATAGACTAGACTATAAACTAGACTATAGACTAAACTATAGACTTGACTATAGACTAGACTATAGACTAGACTATAGACTAGACTATAGACTAGACTATAGACTAGACTATAGACTAGACTATAAACTAGACTATAGACTAGACTATAGACTAGACTATAAACTAGACTATAGACTAGACTATAGACTAGACTATACTACTATAGACTAGACTATAGACTAGACTATACTAGACTATAGACTAGACTATAGACTAGACTATAGACTAGACTATAGACTAGACTATAGACTAGACTATAGACTAGACTATAGACTAGACTATAGACTAGACTATATAGACTATAGACTAGACTATAGACTAGACTATAGACTAGACTATAGACTAGACTATAGACTAGACTATAGACTAGACTATAGACTAGACTATAGACTAGACTATAGACTAGACTATAGACTAGACTATAGACTAGACTATAGACTAGACTATAGACTAGACTATAGACTAGACTATAGACTAGACTATAGACTAGACTATAGACTAGACTATAGACTAGACTATAGACTAGACTATAGAACTAGACTATAGACTAGACTATAGACTAGACTATAGACTAGACTATAGACTAGACTATAGACTAGACTATAGACTAGACTATAGACTAGACTATAGACTAGACTATAGACTAGACTATAGACTAGACTATAGACTAGACTATAGACTAGACTATAGACTAGACTATAGACTAGACTATAGACTAGACTATAGACTAGACTAGACTATACTATAGACTAGACTATAGACTAGACTATAGACTAGACTATAGACTAGACTATAGACTAGACTATAGACTAGACTATAGACTAGACTATAGACTAGACTATAGACTAGACTATAGACTAGACTATAGACTAGACTATAGACTAGACTATAGACTAGACTATAGACTAGACTATAGACTAGACTATAGACTAGACTATAGACTGACTATAGACTAGACTATAGACTAGACTATAGACTAGACTATAGACTAGACTATAGACTAGACTATAGACTAGACTATACTAGACTAGACTAGACTATATACTAGACTATAGACTAGACTATAGACTAGACTATAGACTAGACTATAGACTAGACTATAGACTAGACTATAGACTAGACTATAGACTAGAATATAGACTAGACTATAGACTAGAATATAGACTAGACTATAGACTAGACTATAGACTAGACTATAGACTAGACTATAGACTATTGCAAATTTTCGAAAATTTTCAAAGCAAATAACAACTTTGACAAAACTGTAAGAAACTGACCGACTGTAGTGTGCTTCTACAACAAGAGAAAAAAATGCATAAAACTCAAAACTCCGAGTTAATTAAAAAGACTACAACATTTTAAAGGGATTATGACAACTGAGATGAGAAAACTATAAATAAAATGACAAATTGACGTCCTCAAGGGAAAATCATCATAACGAAGACGATGATGTTGTTGCTGCCGATACTGCTGCTACTACAGATGATGACAATGATGAGGTGCAAATGAAATTATAACACACAAGTAAAACTTTATGTTATAATTAAAAAAAAAAATATGAAAAACAAGAACTGAATAAAAACAAGTAAACTATATTTTAATTATTCATTAGAAACAAAGAAAAAAGTTAAATGACAAAGTATGTCACATTTACATTTAAATGTGATGAGATAAAATAAAAACTCATTCACATACCAGAAAAACTTATGACAAAAAGAGAGTGTGTGAATATGTTGGTCATTGATTTAATTTCCTGTTTCTAAAAGGTTTTTTCCTCTTTGCTGATCCCTCTTTGCGCTACCGTTTCGAAGAGCTCATCAACAATAATATTTAATTATTTATTGTAATTTTATTATGAACACACAAGACAAAAAGTTCTCATACGCTTGAGAAATGTATTTAAAAACCTCAAGAAAGCCACATTACATGTGTATAACCCAGACAAAGCAAATTTCCTTTTCTATAGACACTGCGATTAATGCTACTAGCCATTAACTGTTTACATTTAACACACACAAACACAAATTTACATTTTGACAACAAACAGCAAAAGTTTCTGTCTGCCTTAACTGTTACCCTATTTCTGCAATTCAAAACCCTTTCTCTTCAATTTTCTAAGTATTTTGCCGTCTCAATGTTATATGTTTGAATTTTGTATTATAATGTGATATTAATTGAAAATTAACATGACCTAATTGTACACACAAACATATTCCAAGCATGTTAGGAAAACCACAAATGGCAATATTAATGTTTATTAGAATTAAGGTCAATCATGGGCGTTTTTGTAAATTCATATCAAATTTTTCAATTTTAACTAAATGAAAGCACTTGTTAAATATAGTTCTCGCTGAACAATGTTTACTTAACTTAACTAAACCTTATGATTATTTGAAGCTGCTTTACCCAAAATTTTGAAAAATTAAGTGGATTGGCCAAGGCTGATACAAACGTGAATAATTAATATAAGTGCTAATCCTAATTGTATAACAAAATATAAACTAGAACAGAACTAGAACAGAACTAGAACAGAACTAGAACAGAACTAGAACAGAACTAGAACAGAACTAGAACAGAACTAGAACAGAACTAGAACAGAACTAGAACAAAACTAGAACAGAACTAGAACAGAACTACAACAGAACTAGAACAGAACTAGAACAAAACTAGAACAGAACTAGAACAAAACTAGAACAGAACTAGAACAGAACTAGAACAGAACTAGAACAGAACTAGAACCGAACTAGAACAGAACTAGAACAGAACTAGAACTGAACTAGAACTGAAACTAGAACAGAACTAGAACAGAACTAGAACAGAACTAGAACAGAACTAGAACAGAACTAGAACAGAATTAGAACAGAACTAGAACAGAACTAGAACAGAACTAGAACAGAACTAGAACAGAACTAGAACAGAACTAGAACAGAACTAGAACAGAACTAGAACAGAACTAGAACAGAACTAGAACAGAACTAGAACAGAACTAGAACAGAACTAGAACAGAACTAGAACAGAACTAGAACAGAACTAGAACAGAACTAGAACAGAACTAGAACAGAACTAGAACAGAACTAGAACAGAACTAGAACAGAACTAGAACAGAACTAGAACAGAACTAGAACAGAACTAGAACAGAACTAGAACAGAACTAGAACAGAACTAGAACAGAACTAGAACAGAACTAGAACAGAACTAGAACAGAACTAGAACAGAACTAGAACAGAACTAGAACAGAACTAGAACAGAACTAGAACAGAACTAGAACTAGAACAGAACTAGAACAGAACTAGAACAGAACTAGAACAGAACTAGAACAGAACTAGAACAGAACTAAAACAGAACTAGAACAGAAAAGAACTACACAGAACAGAACAAGGATTGGAACAATAGAGATCTATACATACTCTACTAAAATTCAAACAGAACTCATCTCATAAAGTAGAAGATACAATTTAAGTTCATTTATTTAAAATTTACCAATTCTTTGACACAATATTTACAAATGCGTTTTTTTCATTTAAATAAAAACAGAAAAACTTAAATAAAACTTTAAGACCTCAGCAATGTCTTTCTCTATTCTTTTTAGAAATATATGAAAACTTTTATACGTTTTCACTACTAATACCCCCACTTTTATTTGGTATTTTTTGCTCCATTTTAGACATTCCTCAAACCACAACTGTAACAACTTTAGCTCCAACTGTTTCAACTAACACTGTACCCATGTTCGTAACCAAATACCATAAAGGTATGTATGTAAATGTGTTTAAATATATATGTATTTTTGCGTATGGTTATATATAAATGGTTAGAGTTTTCCTTCTAAATACCCCTGCATATGCATACAAACGTATGACTACTATTACTAATACCATTAAAATGCATTTGGTTTCCTTTTCTATTTATATTTCTTTACAAACTTCCTCCTCTGGCTTTTATTGCTTCGATACCGAACAGAACAACGTTATAACTTTCAACAGAATAACAATAATAACAACTACAATCATAAATTGCAAAGAACTAAATCAAAAATGGATTTACCGCAACAGCAACAACAAACAACATTAAATAATGTATATATCGGTGCAACATCAACATTATGGAATACACAGCAACAGCATCAACAGGATCGTTATAGTGGTGTCAGAGAGCATTATAGTCATCAAGGTGAGTTTACTTTAAACGCACAAATAATAATAAAAAAACTACAATTTTCAAAGAATCTGATAAGAAAATCTACTTAAAATAAGATGTCATTGTGTATAAAAATATATTTGAATAAAAATGTTCTAAGATGAGAACGAAGGTAAACAATTTAAATTTGAATTACAAGAAAAGTTGACAACATTTCTTCAGTAATACTTTAGATTTTATAAATGAAAAGGGATTCTTTCTTCGGGTTTAAATACATATTAATATGCAATTATAATGTTTAAAAGACATAGAATTTAAAATAAATTGAATTTCTTCAAGAACTAGAACTGAACTAGAACTGAACTAGAACTGAACTAGAACTGAACTAGAACTGAACTAGAACTGAACTAGAACTGAACTAGAACTGAACTAGAACTGAACTAGAACTGAACTAGAACTGAACTAGAACTGAACTAGAACTGAACTAGAACTGAACTAGAACTGAACTAGAACTGAACTAGAACTGAACTAGAACTGAACTAGAACTGAACTAGAACTGAACTAACTGAACTGAACTGAACTAGAACTGAACTAGAACTGAACTAGAACTGAACTAGAACTGAACTAGAACTGAACTAGAACTGAACTAGAACTGAACTAGAACTGAACTAGAACTGAACTAGAACTGAACTAGAACTGAACTAGAACTGAACTAGAACTGAACTAGAACTGAACCTAGAACTGAACTAGAACTGAACTAGAACTGAACTAGAACTGACTAGAACTGAACTAGAACTGAACTAGAACTGAACTAGAACTGAACTAGAACTGAACTAGAACTGAACTAGAACTGAACTAGAACTGACCTAGAACTGAACTAGAACTGAACTAGAACTGAACTAGAACTGATACTAGAACTGAACTAGAACTGAACTAGAACTGAACTAGAACTGAACTAGAACGGAACCTAGAAACTGAACTAGAACTGAACTAGAACTGAACTAGAACTGAACTAGAACTGAACTAGAACTGACTAGAACTGAACTAGAACTGAACTAGATGAACTAGAACTAACTAGAACTGAACTAGAACTGAACTAGAACTGACTAGAACTGAACTAGAACTGAACTAGAACTGAACTAGAACTGAACTAGAACTGAACTAGAACTGAACTAGAACTGAACTAGAGACTGAACTAGAACTGAAACTAGAACTGAACTAGAACTGAACTAGAATGAACTAGAAACTGAACTAGACTGAACTAGAAACTGAACTAGAACTGAACTAGAACTGAACTAGAACTGAACTAGAACTGAACTAGAACGAACTAGAACTGAACTAGAACTGAACTAGAACTGAACTAGAACTGAACTAGAACTGAACTAGAACTGAACTAGAACTGAACTAGAACTGAACTAGAACTGAACTAGAACTGAACTAGAACTGAACTAACTGAACTACTAGAACTGAACTAGAACTGAACTAGAACTGAACTAGAACTGAACTAGAACTGACTAGAACTGAACTAGAACTGAACTAGAACTGAACTAGAACTGAACTAGAACTGAACTAGAACTGAACTAGAACTGAACTAGAACTGAACTAGAACTAGAACTGAACTAGAACTGAACTAGAACTGAACTAGAACTGAACTAGAACTGAACTAGAACTGAACTAGAACTGAACTAGAATGAACTAGAACTGAACTAGAACTGAACTAGAACTGAACTAGAACTGAACTAGAACTGAACTAGAACTGAACTAGACGTAGAACTGAACTAGAACTGAACTAGAACTGAACTAGAACTGAACTAGAACTGAACTAGAACTGAACTAGACCTGAACTAGAACTGAACTAGAACTGAACTAGAACTGAACTAGAACTGAACTAGAACTGAACTAGAACTGAACTAGAACTGAACTAGAACTGAACTAGAACTGAACTAGAACTGAACTAGAACTGAACTAGAACTGAACTAGAACTGAACTAGAACTGAACTAGAACTGAACTAGAACTGAACTAGAACTGAACTAGAACTGAACTAGAACTGAAACTAGACTGAACTAGAACTGAAGAACTAGAACTGAACTAGAACTGAACTGAACTGCACAGAACTGAACTGAACTTAAACTGAACTTTTCTTCGTTAAATAAATAACTGATGATATATTTCCTTTCTAAAGATAATCAGCTATATTTCCTTAAGTGTTTCACAAGAAGAGGAAATTGTCATCAAAATAAGTTGGTGTTAATTGTGACAATCTTTGTAAATTTGAAATGATACTTTATACAATCCTTAAAGAAAACCAATGCTTGTTCAAGCAAAAGTAGTTTTTTTCTCACTCTACTCCTACTTATACTAGAATAACAATGAAACATTCCAACATTGAAGATAAGAACGTCGTTTGCGGTGCTGATGACAAAGATACTCCGAACTCTTGTGTTCAATTGTCTGTACGATTTTGCATATATAATATTATTATATTTATATACTTCTACATTTTTTCAGATTTCTTTTCTCTTGCATAAAGAACTGTTAAAATGAAAGGGAAAAAATCTTTCCACACAGTTGCAAATGAATTTGATTTAACCTCCTAGAAATGGAAAAAAAAATGCAATTTATTACGCAGAAAAAAAAATGTCATGATTTTGTGGCATGCCACACTATATTGGCAAATGCATAACAAAGAGGGTAAAATGAAAATGAATAATAACGAAATATTCCTTTTTTCATGGAACCGCAAAGAAAACCCGAAAATATTGTTGCAACTGTAAGAAATTTATCGAAATAGTCATGATTTACGATATGTCAATTGTGAAAGAAAATAGAGGGAAATGTACACTTTGAGGAAGACAAATAGAGGATATTATAATAAATATTAAATAGGGGTATTTTTGGAGAATTTAAAATTTAGCAATGAAGTTGTGTAAAGGCAATTGACGTGAAATTCCCTAAAACGGTAACTGTCAGCAATGAAGGAGAGTTTGCGGAAAGAAGTACTACAGCTATTAGTATCTATTCAATGTAGTTTGTTATGGTAGAGGGAATGTAGTTTTCTATAGCGCTGACAACCACTGAGGCCAGACAGGAAGTTAAACAAATGTCTAGCAAGTAGAAAGAAACAAGGATAGCAGAGATGAACTATGAAATTATAACAATATATATACATAAAGTTGTGTTTTTTCTATAAACTAAATATTCAAATTTTTTAATTGCTTAAGTATTTTAAAATAATATTCTTTTATCTGAAAATTCGCGATTTCAAAATGTATTTGTTCTATATTTATAAATTATATTATAAAATGTATCTATTATTGATTCGTTTCCACCATCAATTACTTCATCCATAAGTCAATAATCGTAAAACACAGCAGAATAAAACAACAACAGTGACTGCAAAAGCAGAAGTACCAATAAATACACAGACAAATGTTTGTCGTCGTTATATCCCATGGTAAATGTCAATAATGCAAAAGTTTAAAAACACCTTTGGGGATCAACAATAAGAGTAAACACAATATCTTCAATATCTATAAAACAACCAAGACAACAACAACACAAATACATACAATACAACAACAAAAAATAAAACATAAAACAAAATATTGTTAGCAAATTGTTATTGTTGTTTTTTTGCCTGTAAATTGCAATATAAACATTGAAACAATGAAGCTAAAAGCTTGTGAAAATCTGTCACGTTATAAAACAACAGCAGAGCAATAACAACAACAACAAAAATCCCATAGACAATTTTTGTTGAGATTGCAAAAATGTAGAAAATCGCAACAACTTGACAGCATGAAACAAAACACCAGCACATACACTTAAAGTCAAGAGCGCTAGTGTATGTGTGTGGAGTTTACGGTTTGCGTTAGAAACTGGGCGTTAAGGAGTGGCGTTTGGCTAGGAAGTGTGAAAGAAAAAAACATTAATATTTTGCCTTAAGCATACAAAAATATGTTATTTATTGATGTTCTTTTTATGTGCTAAACGACTACGAGAGTATGTGTATGTTGTATAGAATTCCAATTTAACACAAGTTACAGCAAACAAACGACTCCATCAATAGCAAGTAAAATACTACAAGCTCAAACATACACACGCCAATAATAAAACATTTATTTATTTCTATGCTGGTACCTAAGGAATGAAGGACTAAGATAATTCGCATTGGTGTAACTTAATCTCTTTGACAGATTCTGAAGTATTAATTTTTTTAGTTTTAGTTCTGTTTCTAGTTCTGTTCTAATTGTGTTCTAGTTTTGTTCTAGTTCTGTTCTAGTTATGTTCTAGTTATGTTCTAGTTTCTGTTCTAGTTCTGTTCTAGTTCTGTTTCTAGTTCTGTTCTAGTTCTGTCTAGTCTGTTCTAGTTCTGTTCTAGTTCTGTTCTAGTTCTGTTCTAGTTCTGTTCTAGTTCTGTTCTAGTTCTGTTCTAGTTCTGTTCTAGTTCAGTTCTAGTTCTGTTCTAGTTCTGTTCTAGTTCTGTCTAGGTCTGTTCTAGTTGTTCTAGTTCTGTTAGTTCTGTTCTAGTTCTGTTCTAGGTCTGTGTCTTAGTTCTGTTCTAGTTCAGTTCTAGTTCTGTTCTAGTTCAGTTCTAGTTCTGTTCTAGTTCAGTTCTAGTTCTGTTCTAGTTCAGTTCTAGTTCTGTTCGAGTTAGGTGCTAGTTTCTGTTCTAGGTTCTGTTCTAGTTCTGTTCTAGTTCTGTTCTAGTTTTCTAGTTCTGTTCTAGTTCTGTTCTAGTTCTGTTTTGTTCTAGTTCTGGTTCTAGTTCTGTTCTAGTTCTGCTCTAGTTTCTGTTCTAGTTCAGTTCTAGTTCTGTTCTAGTTCGTTCTATTCAGTTCTAGTTCAGTTCTAGTTTCAGTTCTAGTTCTGTTCTGTTCTAGTTCTGTTCTAGTTCTGTTCTAGTTCTGTTCTAGTTCTGTTCTAGTTCTGTTCTAGTTCTGTTCTACTTCTGTTCTAGTTCTGTTCTGTTCTAGTTCTGTTCTAGTTCTGTTCGAGTTCTAGTTCTGTGCTAGTTTCTGTTCTAGTTTCGGTTCTAGTTCTGTTCTAGTTCTGTTCTAGTTCTGTTCTAGTTCTGTTCTAGTTCTGTTCTAGTTCTGTTCTAGTCTGTTCTAGTTCTGTTCTAGTTCTGTTCTAGTTTCTGTTCTAGTTCTGTTCTGTTCTAGTTCTGTTCTAGTTCTGTTCTAGTTCTGTTCTGTTCTAGTTCTGTTCTAGTCTGTCTAGTTCTGTTCTAGTTCTGTCTAGTTCTGTTCTAGTTCTGTTCTAGTTCTGTTCTAGTTCTGTTCTAGTTCTGTTCTAGTTCTGTTCTAGTTCTGTTCTAGTTCTGTTCTAGTTCTGTTCTAGTTCTGTTCTAGTTCTGTTCTAGTTCTGTTCTAGTTCTGTTCTAGTTTCTATTCTGGTTCTGGTCCTAGTTCTGTTCTAGTTTTGTTCTAGTTCTGTTGTGTTCTAGTTTTGTTCTTGTTCTGTTCTAGTTCTGTTCAGTTCTGTGCTAGTTCTGTTCTAGTTCTGTTCTAGTTCTGTTCTAATTCTATGCACATTCATCCTTAGTCTTATTGTTAAAAAAATATTAATTATTTGTATGACACATAATAAAATAAAGAAAACGAATAGAAATGGGTTGTTACAAGTCATTGGTAATAAAGTCATATTGTTATAATAAAAAGATTGTCAATGTGTACTACTTCAAATTTATATATTTTACAACCCACATTTCATGTACATATTTTTTAATCCACATTGTAACAAGTACATATAAAAAAAGGGGGTGTTCATTGTTTTAGTCCATAAGTAAGAACGTTTATAAATGTCAGAAATGTAGGTATATTTTATTTTAGTATTAGGTTCTCTTAGGTTTTACTAAAATAAATTTATATTGTGTAATTGGAGAAAGAAAATAAATGTTGTATACCAATGTATGTAGCGGAGTATAATTGAACTTTAGTTCATTCCAAAATTAAACTAGAAAATTAATTAACGTCTGGCAACCTTCAAAATAATCTTTACAATTTATAAAAACATTTAAAATCATATAAAAAACCTGTCATCACGTTAAGGTCTTGTAATTTTTATTTGTCCCTCTGTACAATTTTAACCACTAATGTAAAACCTATCATTTTAAATTTAAATTACTTTTTGTAATTTTTTTATAGATTTACATATGTAAAATATCCCAAAATAAAAAAAGAAAAAATGATTTCCAATTTAATTTTATATTCTCTCAACACTCATAGATTAAGAAGTCATACTCTTCATATACAAACTTCTAAATTCAATGTAAACGCACATAACATTTAATATTAATGCGTTAACCCTTTAAGTTGTTGTAACTGTTGTTGTTGTTGTTTAAGTTGAAGTAAAGGACAATAATAGTAATGTCCTTGTACTTAAAATTCACAATAAAAGAAGGATATATGTATACACATACACACAATCAAACGCACAACGTACACATTTTAGAGAATATGGTAGGAACCTAAAATATAGCTTTGTGGTAGAAGGACCATAAAAACCAAATGTTTTTCTGTTGGTTGTCTTTTTTCTTTTCCTCCTCTTATTTTTTTATAAATTTCAATACAATTCATTGTGCATTTGAGTGTAAAAAATATAAAAAATATTACTGTCTCGAACGTGGCTACATGAATAAAACTGCACAAAAAGAAATATTATAAATCTTACAGACAAAATAACTTTACAGATACAGTAATTTGTTCAAGACTTTGGGTACATACCAAAAGGACTCTACTTGACGAGAAAAATGAGAAAAAGAATGAATAAATTTAAATCATAAAATCTGGAGGCTGAATTCTTCTATAGGAGCCGAGTTACTAGTTCTGTTCTAGTTCTGTTCTAGTTCTGTTCTAGTTCTGTTCTAGTTCTGTTCTAGTTCTGTTCTAGTTCTGTTCTGTTCTAGTTCTGTTCTGTTCTGTCTAGTTCTGTTCTAGTTCTGTTCTAGTTCTGTTCTAGTTCTGTTCTAGTTCTGTTCTAGTTCTGTTCTAGTTCTGTTCTAGTTCTGTTCTAGTTCTGTTCTAGTTCTGTTCTAGTTCTGTTCTAGTTCTGTTCTAGTTCTGTTCTAGTTCTGTTCTAGTTCTGTTCTAGTTCTTTCTAGTTCTGTTCTAGTTCTGTTCTAGTTCTGTTCTAGTTCTGTTCTAGTTCTGTTCTAGTTCTAGTTCTGTTCTGTTCTAGTTCTGTTCTAGTTCTGTTCTAGTTCTGTTCTAGTTCTGTTCTAGTTCTGTTCTAGTTCTGTTCTAGTTCTGTTCTACTTCTGTTCTAGTTCTGTTCTAGTTCTGTTCTAGTTCTGTTCTAGTTCTGTTCTAGTTCTGTTCTAGTTCTGTTCTAGTTCTGTTCTAGTTCTGTTCTAGTTCTGTTCTAGTTCTGTTCTAGTTCTGTTCTAGTTCTGTTCTAGTTCTGTTCTAGTTCTGTTCTAGTTCTGTTCTAATTCTCTTCTAGTTCTGTTCTAGTTCTGTTCTAGTTCAGTTCTAGTTCAGTTCTAGTTCTGTTCTAGTTCTGTTCTAGTTCTGTTCTAGTTCTGTTCTAGTTCTGTTCTAGCTCTGTTCTAGTTCTGTTCTAGTTCTGTTCTAGTTCTGTTCTAGTTCTGTTCTAGTTCTGTTCTAGTTCTGTTCTAGTTCTGTTCTAGTTCTGTTCTAGTTCTGTTCTAGTTCTGTTCTAGTTCTGTTCTAGTTCTGTTCTAGTTATGTTCTAGTTCTGTTCTAGTTCTGTTCTAGTTCTGTTCTAGTTATGTTCTAGTTCTGTTCAACACGATCCAAACCACTTCAGAGTCTTACATTTTTTCAAGTGTAAAGCTTTTCTTTGCAAGAAGCGAATTTCAACAAGAGTTTAAATGGATTTGTATTGTGTTGAATGTGTGATTTGCGTGAAAAATGCTTTTAAAATTTATACCTTTCATGTAGGGAGAAGAAAGAACTATATTATTACACAAAGGAAAATTTCAGCGGCCTTAAGGGAAGCATTAAATATTAAATCACAGACAATACAGCACATTACAATAATATATCACAGTAAATTATAGTTACAGCAATTTTTTTTATCTTCCAAATTAATGTTGATATTGGGAAATATTAATTCATTAAAATAGCAATTTAGGGCCGTCAAAATGGGCTTAGTTTCATGTGTTTTTACTATATTTTACATAGAAAGAACATGTAGTAGTCAAATAAAAGCAAGCAACCAATGTCACTTGAAATCAATTGTATAAAACTATAAAAAATAACTGACACATAGCACTGATGAACAATTTGTCTAAAGGAAATGCACACGCACTAAAATTTTATGTTATAACAAAAAAATCAGATATTACTTAATAAAATGTGTTTAAACTAATTCAAGATCTGTTTTCAATATTAAATTAATTTGTATTTCTCTCTTACACTTTTAGCGCCCGATCATCCCAACTATCGTGGTAATTTGGATTCCAAATCAACTTGCAGCATGATGCCAACTCTTTGTCTCTCGAAAATAATGAAGTGTATGCTGCAGCTAATGTCTTAAAAACTCCTCTAGTGTATTTTATAACCATTTACCTGTTTAAACAATTAGTCACTTTATCTGCACACATTATGTGTAGCAATTATAAATAATTTTTAATTAATTTACACTTAAATTCAATTAAAACATAAAAGCAAAAACAATAATAACAACAAAAACAAATTAATTATAAACCGATTTACTTATAGACGCACATTTTGTTTGGAATGTTTAATACTTCTTTTGTAATAAAAACGTGTGGAATTTTAATTTAAATTAAAATATTTAATTATGAAAAAATAAAAACAAATGAAGAAAAAGTAACTAAATAACGTCTACTATAGAATTTATTTTGTAATCACAAGTAAAAAGAAAAAAAGGAAAAATTACTTAGTATTCTGTAGTAATTTTAAACTAAGTTGTAAGATTTTTAAGATTATTGTGTAAATAAGAATATAAATGTATTTTAAGTTCATTAAGTACATATAATTAAATAAAAATAAAGTATTTAAATATTTTCGTTATCTTTGTGTCATAAGTGATTAGTTTCTGTCTACTAGTTGATTTAACTTGTTAACAATTATGATTTCCTCAATTCAAAATTACTTTACAAATCTGAAGTAATTTAAGCAACCTATTTTAACTTAAATAACATTCTCAGTTGAGTTCAGTTATAGTTCTAGTTCAGTTCTAGTTCAGTTCTAGTTCAGTTCTAGTTCAGTTCTTGTTCAGTTCTACTTCAGTTCTAGTTCAGATCTAGTTCAGTTCTAGTTCAGTTCTAGTTCTAGTTCAGTTCTAGTTCAGTTCTAGTTCAGTTCTAGTTCAGTTCTAGTTCAGTTCTAGTTCAGTTCTAGTTCAGTTCTACTTCAGTTCTAGTTCAGTTCTAGTTCAGTTCTAGTTCAGTTCTAGTTCAGTTTAGTTCAGTTCTAGTTCAGTTCTAGTTCAGTTCTAGTTCAGTTCTAGTTCAGTTCTAGTTCAGTTCTAGTTCAGTTCTAGTTCAGTTCTAGATCAGTTCTAGTTCAGTTCTAGTTCAGTTCTAGTTCAGTCTAGTTCAGTTCTAGTTCAGTTCTAGTTCAGTTCTAGTTCAGTTCTAGTTCAGTTCTAGTTCAGTTCTTCAGTTCTAGTTCAGTTCTAGTTCAGTTCTAGTTCAGTTCTAGTTCAGTTCTAGTTCAGTTCTAGTTCAGTTCTAGTTCAGTTCTAGTTCAGTTCTAGTTCAGTTCTAGTTCAGTTCTAGTTCAGTTCTAGTTTTCTAGTTCAGTTCTAGTTCAGTTCTAGTTCAGTTCTAGTTCAGTTCTAGTTCAGTTCTAGTTCAGTTCTAGTTCAGTTCTAGTTCAGTTCTAGTTCAGTTCTAGTTCAGTTCTAGTTCAGTTTTAGTTCAGTTCTAGTTCAGTTCTAGTTCAGTTCTAGTTCAGTTCTAGTTCAGTTCTAGTTCAGTTCTAGTTCAGTTCTAGTTCAGTTCTAGTTCAGTTCTAGTTCAGTTCTAGTTCAGTTCTAGTTCAGTTCTAGTTCAGTTCTAGTTCAGTTCTAGTTCAGTTCTAGTTCATTCTAGTTCAGTTCTAGTTCAGTTCTAGTTCAGTTCTAGTTCATTCTAGTCAGTTCTAGTTCAGTTCTAGTTCAGTTCTAGTTCAGTTCTAGTTCAGTTCTAGTTCAGTTCTAGTTCAGTTCTAGTTCAGTTCTAGTTCAGTTCTAGTTCAGTTCTAGTTCAGTTCTAGTTCAGTTCTAGTTCAGTTCTAGTTCAGTTCTAGTTCAGTTCTAGTTCAGTTCTAGTTCAGTTCTAGTTCAGTTCTAGTTCAGTTCTAGTTCAGTTCTAGTTCAGTTCTAGTTCAGTTCTAGTTCAGTTCTAGTTCAGTTCTAGTTCAGTTCTAGTTCAGTTCTAGTCAGTTCTAGTTCAGTTCTAGTTCAGTTCTAGTTCAGTTCTAGTTCAGTTCTAGTTCAGTTCTAGTTCAGTTCTAGTTCAGTTCTAGTTCAGTTCTAGTTCAGTTCTAGTTCAGTTCTAGTTCAGTTCTAGTTCTAGTTCAGTTCTAGTTCAGTTCTAGTTCAGTTCTAGTTCAGTTCTAGTTCAGTTCTTTTTCTAGTTCAGTTCTAGTTCAGTTCTAGTTCAGTTCTAGTTCAGTTCTAGTTCAGTTCTAGTTCAGTTCTAGTTCAGTTCTAGTTCAGTTCTAGTTCAGTTCTAGTTCAGTTCTAGTTCAGTTCTAGTTCAGTTCAGTTCTAGTTCAGTTCTAGTTCAGTTCTAGTTCAGTTCTAGTTCAGTTCTAGTTCAGTTCTAGTTCAGTTCTAGTTCAGTTCTAGTTCAGTTCTAGTTCAGTTCTAGTTCAGTTCTAGTTCAGTTCTAGTTCAGTTCTAGTTCAGTTCTAGTTCAGTTCTAGTTCAGTTCTAGTTCAGTTCTAGTTCAGTTCTAGTTCAGTTCTAGTTCAGTTCTAGTTCAGTTCTAGTTCAGTTCTAGTTCAGTTCTAGTTCAGTTCTAGTTCAGTTCTAGTTCAGTTCTAGTTCAGTTCTAGTTCAGTTCTAGTTCAGTTCTAGTTCAGTTCTAGTTCAGTTCTAGTTCAGTTCTAGTTCAGTTCTAGTTCAGTTCTAGTTCAGTTCTAGTTCAGTTCTAGTTCAGTTCTAGTTCAGTTCTAGTTCAGTTCTAGTTCAGTTCTAGTTCAGTTCTAGTTCAGTTCTAGTTCAGTTCTAGTTCAGTTCTAGTTCAGTTCTAGTTCAGTTCTAGTTCAGTTCTAGTTCAGTTCTAGTTCAGTTCAGTTCAGTTCAGTCAGTTCTAGTTCAGTTCTAGTTCAGTTCAAATAGATATACAGGAATTTTTCATTTCTTTTACATCTTTTTGTTGTATTTTACTCATATGTACTCTTAAAATACAATATAAAATTAAATTTTATATTTTTTAATAAATAATACCCCAAAAAAAAGACACAAAATGATGTTTAAATCAAATCTTGTTGACAATTAAGCTTCTTAGAAATTGTAATTGTATAACTTCATGCACCCTGTTATTTATAATTTATATGTTTTTACAGGGTACTAAATATAATTTGTAAAAATAATACCAACAGCTAAATATATAAATACAGACATATTTATAAATATCAATTATTATAATTAATTTATAACTTAATGCATCTATTTTATAATAGGCCAGTTGTTTAATATGAATAAAGAAAAATAAAATATAAACAATTACATTTTAAGTATGAAAGCTATTAAAGGAAAAAAAAAAGAAATAAAATAAAAATTAAGAAAAAAATTCTTAAAGAAACACAAATAAATTATATAAAATAAAGGACTAATAATTATATATTAATTAGAAGGTATTGAGTTTAATTAAGGGATAGTGGAGGTAAGAGTTTTAAAAAATTACAGAATTTTTCTAAGCACTAGGTATAGATTATACTTGTTTTTTAGTCTAGACTACTATATACTTGACTATATAATTCAACTATAGACTTGACTTAAATGTTGACTTATGTAGTTTTCTCCATTTTTTTAATAAATTATATTTTAACAAAAAGTGCTCTCATTTACAGGTACTTATATATTTAATTATTTTTCTTGCATACTTTGTTGAATTTCATTAACATTTAACTTTTAAAAGCCACTTATTTTCATATAAACTTTTGTTTTATTTAACAAGAAACAAAAAAGCTGAAAGAAGACAAATAGCGGCATAGTAGCAGCAACAAACAGTGGGAATAGCAACAACAACATTAACGTTACGTTAAATAAGAAATATATGAAGAAGAATGAAAGAATTACAACAAACAAAACACTTCATTCTCATAATACTCATACGCTGTTACTTAACAAACACATTAGTTAAGTACCACTTCCGTTTCCCTTGTGTCAACTACACACATACAAACCTACGTAGTATGTACACAACACCACACACATACACACACACATGCATATGAAACTTGTGTGTTTTGCGAATCTACATGTGAATATTTAAACAAGAATAACAAAAAAAAATTCTCTCATAACTTTTACACAATGCCTGAATGTAAGTATTTTCTTTTTCTATTTGCATACAGGACGTTTGTTTTGTCCTTAATAGGTAGTGGGGTGTGTTGATGTGGTAAAGAGTAAAAGGGAGTTTGTTTGGCGAACAAACAGCCAACCAGTCAGGCAACCAACCAACATGCACATCATGTTGTTACCTTTTGCTTGCATTTTAACCGCTACTGCTACTACTACTGTACAGGCGAATGAGAGTGAAAGTATGAAGGCAGTACGAAAAGTTATTTAAAATTAAAGAGATGCCGGTTAGAGTTCTTAGGACTTTAAAAAATATCTGTGAAAAGAGAAAAATTAAAACAAATTTTCCCAGAAGAGAGAGAAATATGCAAAAAAATTCTATAATTGAGAAATTTATAGAAAATTTTGAAAAATTATAGACTAGACTACAGACTAGACTACAGAACCAGATTACGACTAGATTACAGACTAGATACAGACTAGACTATAGACTAGACTATAGACTAGACTATAGACTAAACTATAGACTAGACATAGACTAGACTATAGACTAGACTATAGACTAGACTATAGACTAGACTATAGACTAGACTATAGACTAGACTATAGACTAGACCTTATAGACTAGACTATAGACTAGACTATAACTAGACTATAGACTAGACTAACGACTAGACTATAGACTAGACTTAGACTAGACTATAGACTAGACTATAGACTAGACTAACGACTAGACTATAGACTAGACTATAGACTAGACTAGACTATAGACTAGACTATAGACTAGACTATAGACTAGACTATAGACTAGACTATAGACTAGACTATAGACTAGACTATAGACTAGACTATAGACTAGACTATAGACTAGACTATAGACTAGACTATAGACTAGACTATAGACTAGACCTATAGACTAGACTATAGAATAGACTATAGACTAGACTATAGACTAGACTATAGACTAGACTATAGACTAGACTATAGACTAGACTATAGACTAGACTATAGACTAGACTATAGACTAGACTATAGACTAGCTATAGACTAGACTATAGACTAGACTATAGACTATACTATAGACCTAGACTATAGACTAGACTATAGACTAGACTATAGACTAGACTATAGACTAGACTATAGACTAGACTATAGACTAGACTATAGACTAGACTATAGACTAGACTATAGACTAGACTATAGACTAGACTATAGACTAGACTATAGACTAGGACTATAGACTAGACTATAGACTAGACTATAGACTAGACTATAGACTAGACTATATCTAGACTATAGACTAGATATAGACTAGACTATAGACTAGACTATAGACTAGACTATAGACTAGACTAGAGACTAGACTATAAGACTAGGACTAATAGACTAGACTATAGACTAGACTATAGACTAGACTTAGACCTAGACCGATAGACTAGACTATAGACTAGACTATAGACTAGACTATAGACTAGACTATAGACTAGACTATAGGACTAGACTATAGATAGACTATAGACTAGACTTAGATAGACTAGACTATAGAGTAGACTATAGACTAGACTAAGAGTAGACTATAGACTATAGACTAGACTACTAGACTAGACTAAAGACTAGACTATAGACTAGACTATAGACCAGACTATAGACTAGACTATAG